AGTAGGCGAGTAGAGTTGCAGAGCAGGAGCAGGAGAGTAGACTCGACGTTTCGGACAGGTTGACTGTCCGTCTTCAGGAGTGAGTGTTCGCTGGGCGTGCGGCGGTTCTTATGGCGTAGATGCGGACTTGGGGGAAAGCACTGGGCCGGCGGGCTCGGCAGGTTGGCAGGCAGCTGTCGGTGGTGGCGCGCGGTTGTGTGAATTGGCGGGAAACGAGTGGGCGGCGGCTATGCGGACGTCGTGTGGTAGGTGTCGGCGGGGTAGCGGGGGGGTTGTGTCGGTCGTTGAGTGGGTGTATCGATCGGCGGTGAGGATGGCTATTAGTGGTGTCGGTCTGTGTGTGTTGGTCGGCGGTTTCGGCGTTGGCGTAGGTTGTAGCGAGGTGTGGGCGTGGGCGGTGCTTGTGTGGGTGAAGTGGCTAGTTGAGATCCTCCGCTCAGCCAACATCCTCGTCAGACACCAATCCAACCACAAGCTTTACTCCACTCTTCACTCTCACAAGGACAAGTACCCATCCAACAAACAACCAGGCGTCTACAAGATTCCCTGCGATTGCGGCAAAGTCTACATTGGAGAAACCGGCCGCGATTTCGACACCCGACTAAAAGAACACAAGACCCACCACCGACGCAGCGACTGGGACAAGTCAGCCATCGTCAAGCACGCACAACAAGAGCTCCACCACATTCACTGGGATAAAAGTCACCTCATCACCCCCATCCGACATTGGCACACCCGAAGAGTCCGAGAAGCCATCGAGATCCACCAACACAACACCGTACCCCAAGATCCAGGCCTTCACATCAACAGTATCTGGCACCCAATCCTCCCTCACCATCCTACTTCCGACCAATCTTCAACCAACTCCACAACCAACACGCCAACCACCAACACTTCACCAATCCATCCATCCGTTAGCCCGGACACCACCTACAACCACCCAACCACACCCACTCAATCAAGCACTACACGTTCTCAACTAGCCACTTCACCCACACAAGCACCGCCCACGCCCACACCTCGCTACAACCTACGCCAACGCCGAAACCGCCGACCAACACACACAGACCGACACCACTAATAGCCATCCTCACCGCCGATCGATACACCCACTCAACGACCGACACAACCCCCCCGCTACCCCGCCGACACCTACCACACGACGTCCGCATAGCCGCCGCCCACTCGTTTCCCGCCAATTCACACAACCGCGCGCCACCACCGACAGCTGCCTGCCAACCTGCCGAGCCCGCCGGCCCAGTGCTTTCCCCCAAGTCCGCATCTACGCCATAAGAACCGCCGCACGCCCAGCGAACACTCACTCCTGAAGACGGACAGTCAACCTGTCCGAAACGTCGAGTCTACTCTCCTGCTCCTGCTCTGCAACTCTACTCGCCTACTCAACTCTCCAACTCAATCCAGTCTTCTACTCAAACCTCTCATCCCTCCTACAACTTTCTGGTTTACAGTCCTTTTCAGGACTATACTCACTTCCGAAAGATACTCTTCCTTCCAACCTCCACTTTCTCGCCTTTCCATCTCACTTCTATTTTCTATCCACTTTCCTCAGTCCCTCGAGGACTTTACACATGGTGTACCGTAAACCTCTTCCGTGAAAGACAAGATACTCGTCGAAAATCTTCTCCACTTTGCAAAAACTTTCAAGCCTTCACAAATAATCCCCTAAAAAAAATGAATTTGCAAATGCAATGTGAACAAATTGCACGCAAACAAGCCGCTATTGTATTTCAACAATTTAGCAACTTGATAGTATAAAAGCTTTCAAGAAATTTACTCAAGAAGTGCAAGAATTTATTGTATTTGCAGAAGAAAAAGGTAACATCCCTGTCTGATTTAATACAGCTGAGATGACGTTGTAAGGAACCTACATGAAAGAGTAAGAGGGATGTACGTCTGGCTTTCGATGAGTAATGTTGGAGGAGTAAAAGCCTCCGGTCCTAGCTCTTCCCCATCTAACCTCTATTCTCTCTAATACTGACAAATAACCGCTACCACTTAGCTGATCTATCGTACAAATCAAAGGGACAGGTAGATCTCCAACTTCCTAAGCTAAACAATTGTTCTTTAGTTTTGATTTGATAGAAATTGAGTCAATGTAGAGAGACGAGTCGGGGGAATGTGAGGTCTAAATTAAAAGAGGAAATTCGATCAGACGGGAGATTTAAACCGTGAAAGGATGGAGGTTTTGTTTGATGGAGAGCGGGACCTTTACGGATGCTGGTAAAGGGTGAAGGAGAACGAGACTGGTGGGTAGGGACTGGATGTGGAAATTCTATTACTCTAATGCATGGCTAATGTTCTGCTCGTGTAATTACATGTCAAAGCGCGCCCAACAGTGAGAGCGACTCCTCTTATTTTAACCCACTGAGAATCATGCAATGCACAATGCTAAACAAACGTATCATAGTGAAACCTAGCTACTCTTCAACATGTTGATAAACCCACAAAGTATATAGCACCATGCTTTCTGTGGCTGGCTCGTGGAGATGCAGAAACTGGCTCCGCATCACATGACCAAGCTAAATGAGCGCATCTCCCTCTATATTACCCCTCAAGAGCGTATCGGTTTTGATGTGCGCCCCGTAATAAAAATGCCATTTTAAGGCAGGAAACATGTCTGCGTTTGGCACGCATTGTCTGTTCCTTCTTGCCCTAATTCATCACAGCTGACAGTTCCTATTGGTAAAGGAGAAGGTTGCAGAAAGGCAATGGGAAGATCGATGAGGGGTGGGTGGGTACAACATGCCACTTAACCCCTTCCTTCACAGCCCTACTTTACCTTTTATTTTTTTTCTGTTGGATAAACTGAAGCCATGCTAGCTGTGTATTACCTGTTGTATCACTGATATCTACATAATTTAGTTGAAAGTTTGATTATTTGTTTACTCAGATATCCATGAATTATTATAAAGCTGAAAATTTAAGAGATATACAGATTTTATGTAATTTGTCATACTTTAAAAAAAAATGTTCATTCGATATTTAACCTGTAGTAATAATTATCTGACAAATTCAAGTTTTTACCTACGGATTATAGAAAGCATTTCAGTTTTTGTTCTTCCACAAGAAATTACTCTAACTTTTGTCATGCTCCATTTATTTATTTTTCTCTTTAAGGGATTCTGAAACTTTCATTATTTCAAGATGTATGAACATGAATAAAATCTCATCTGTGAGTCATGATTTCTGAAGCATTTTATTTGTTATATATTCATACATGAGTGAACAAGATGGAAAACACTTATTTGTTACTGACAAAAACCTCAAAAGATATATCTTCAAAAACATGATTACTATCAAATATCTAGTTGTTACAGATGGGGGGGGGGGGTTCCTCCCTAAACATTATAAAATAGAAGAGAACCAATTATATTTACTCCATCAACTTTTACCAACAATGTGGATTACATTTACATCTCCCAAAGTACATGAGTCATTTATCAAATGTGACGAGTCGCAAATTAAGATTAGACGAAGGATTTGATATATGAATACCAAGATTTGTCAGGACAGAAAAGGGTTACCACATTACTTATGGGATTTAAAAGATTCTGTAGAGAATCCCTTGGAATGAAAAACTTTAAGAAAACAAAAAGAATAAAACGTGTGTGGGAGGGAGAGTAATCCAGTGAATATACAAAACAGATTATAATATTATTTTCTTTATTGAGATGTGATTTTCCTGCTAACCAAACATTCTTCTCTGTGTATGTCTTGCTCTTATTCATTTCATATTTCATTCCATCTTTATCCTTTATTTATGGCTCCTTCCACTCCAACTACCCACCTCCCCATTTCCTAACTCAGTTCCTCTATTCCCATCTCCCATTATCCCCTGATATCTCTCTCTCTCTCTCTCTCTCTCTCTCTCTCTCTGTTTGTCTTCCTTTATCTCAAAGGATACCAGTTGGTTTCATTGTATAAAAAATAAAACAAACAAAAAGCTACTTTCTCTCCTTGGCTCTCCCTTTCTTCTTCCCACCCTCTTCTTTCATCTTTCAAACCCTCCCCCCCCCCCCTCTCTCTCTCTCGCTCTCTCTCTCTCTCTCTCACACATACACACACACACACACATGTTATCATTCTCTACCTCTTTCTCTATGTATCTTTATCAAGGACAACACTCAAATAACTACCAAACCCCCAGCTTAACTCCCAAAAGCCCATCTTTTGTCATCGGCTTTTGCTCCAAGCATTCCAACTCCCCCAGCGCGGCCGAGATCTATACACTCACTGCACGACCGACATGCAAGACACAAGACAGCATAAACAATGGCATCAAAGTCATCCACCGACATCACTCATGATGGAGAAACGGAGAAGATGAGAGAGCGGAAACAGACTGCTGACGACGACGAGAGCATGCAGACTACGGCCCATCAACAGCTCTTTATGTGGTGTTTTGGGACCAGTGTGTTTAGAAGCTCCTTCATGCTTCACTTGAATATATACAGCGATGAAAAGGGACATAAATCTCCAGGGAGATGCTGTTGATGGCGCAGGATAAAAACGAACCCTTTGAAATGAATATATTGGAGGAAGTTATTGGTGGTTATATTCATCTTTTTTATTCAGCCTGTGGGTAACCTATCTTACTTTTAATGACCCCCATCTCTCTTTCTGTCCCTCTCATCTTATAAGCTATCTTTTACACTTTCCTTCTTATTTCCTTCATTTGCTATATATATATATATATATCTCTCTCTCTCTCTCTCTCTTAAAGTTTCCCTATCACACATACCTCTCTGAATCTATTATTTTGGCACACAAAAAAGCTGATTTGCTGGAAAGCATCCATTTTATTTTGGTTTTCCTTGAACATGGTTCCCCATTGAAACATGTGCTAGAAAAATATGTACATAAAGACAATCTGCCTATAATGGTTGATTTTGTTGTCTCCACTGAGCGACCTCTGTATACAGGTTTGACTGTAATTTTTTTGTTGGATGAAGATGAAAGAACCGAGTAGTTTTACTCACCAATTGATTTGATTTCTGCCTCTCCTCACTGAGGTCCCTCTCTAAAGCTTCAAAGGACTTCCTCTGTTGACTGACCTCAACTTCCTGTAGGTCAAAAACAAAATGAGATAATTAGTCTGCTGAATACTGGATAATGAAAATTTCTTCTTGAACTATGAATATTACTATGGCCACTTTGATAGTACTCAGCATATCAAAACCAACTGGCAAGAAGGCAATTATGTGCTTAAATACTTAGTCGTTATTATACAGCTTAACTACTGATGTATAAAACAGGATGGCCAGTGGGTTTTACCCAACTGGCCAGAAAAAGACCTAAGAATGGAGTGGGGGGGGGGGGGGGGGGGGGGTGAAGGGTGAAAAACAAGGCGCATCAAACGGTGCATAATAAGTCTGTACATCAGTGAACATTCTGCTCTTTCGCGGAAAAAAATGGGTTCTGTTTTTAGTAAGAAGGTAACTGCTTTATCTTTTATCATTTTAGTTGGCTATATGCCGAGTTGTTTGCAAGAATGTGTGGAATACTTAAATTATTTATTAATTTAAAAACAATTATACCTGTATATAAATACCACTCAAGGGGAATCATAGAAGGTGGTCTTTATAGACGGGTGGTATTTCTATACAGGTGGTCACTAAAGCAGGTTTGACTGTACAATGAAACCTATAGATAAAGACCACTCAAGGAAAATAACAAATGTAGTCTTTATAGACAGGTGGTAGTTCTATACAGGTGGTTGCTAAAGCAGGTTTGACTGTATAATATCTACAGTAGATATGAACCTGTTAGCAAGGGGTCATGTCTTGGGGTCATGTCAAATGTCAAATGACTGGGAGAACAGGTTTTTAAAAGAGATACCACACAATATAACATACTAGAAAGACTGATACAGAGTGTACTAGAATACTCAGTGTGATAGACTAAGAGATGAATGAGCAAGAGGAGCAAAAATTAATAAAAAGAGGGAAAAGAAGGAAAAGGAGACAAACAGACAGGGAGAGAAAATATTGGTGAAAAGGGGGAAAAGATGATGAAGATGATAAAAGAGATATCACTTTGGGAATTGATGTTTTTAGAAATATACAAAGAATAAATGGATGCAAAAGAAATGTAACAAATCAACAAGTCTTCCTTACTACAAATGCATATCTCCTATTAAAAAATTAGTGAAAGAATGAAGGGAGGTTGAGAATACTGAAATAGGGATATGTTGATGGAGATAGGAATGCTGTTTTCTACTTCCTGCATAATGCTTGTACAGGAAGTAGACAACAGTGTCTCACATGTTATCACAAGGAGGTATTGTGTGCTGAGAGCCAGAAGGGCATAAACTCATATATCTTAGCTTGGAGTTAGTACCCTTCTGGCTCTATACAGACCCATCTATCTGGAAAGTATAGGATGACAATGACCCATTATCTCCACACGTACATTGTGTTAATGCCTTCCGGCTCTTTCTCTCTCACCAACAGTATACCCCATTACAAATGATAGTTACCATGTTTCTATCTCCTGCCCTGCACACCACAATCTTCAGGAGAGACATTGAGACAACTCCAGAGACTATCTTCAAGATCTAGACAACACTCCACACCCCAAAAGTGCATTCCCAAAACATACCGCAACTTCCACAAGTTCAGAGGTGACCCAAAGCGACACTTTTGACTACACCGATACCTCCATCCTACAGAACCAGTCAGACAGCACACGAGTTCAATCAAAGTCTTGAAACATGAAAAGATCGGGTCACGACAAGAATTGTCGGCAAGATGGATTTTAAACGACTCCTGGATGTGATGCTGTACTTTCCTTGTCACCCTAAATGATACCTATTCCATGGCCTCCTCTCCAATTTCCAGCACCCCAATATATCCTTATTCTGTACTTTGATCAACACAACTGGTCAGGCAGCGCTGGAGTCGGCATGTAACATGATGACGCGTGGCCTCCGATTTGCGACATCCATATTGCCAATCAAGAACATAAAGATTTCGAGAAGATATGGAACATGATTTTCATAAATCCCAGCTAGCCGAGGTATTGCCTTCTGCGAAGAGGGTTCACAAGAGTCTCCAACATCGTGCCTTCCCCATGTTTTATCATGCTCACATGCTCATTTCTTTTCTATTTTCAACACATTCTTGCATCTCCACTCCACCAAGAGCGTGTCAAGTTCAAATATCCATGGTGTAATTGGATCACAACCTTAGCCACCAACGCCTTCATGGCTTACCAAGTGAGATCACTTTAAAAGACAACCATCATAAACAGAACTCCAGGAATAAATATAAGCTTTTGAAATATAAAATGGAATGTCCAGTTTTACTGCGTCCTCTTAAACCATCTCTCTTTCTAGCATAATATTTTTCGCTGGACAGCATCTAATTTCCTCTCCAGACTCCAGATTTGATCTGGCTGACTTCGCTTTTGTCAGGTTCAAAGACCCATGTTGTAATGGGATAACACAGACCAAGCTTCAGGAGACGGAGCTAAATTGCCTGAATGCAATTAAAGGTAGGTAACCCATCTCCCTCCCATCAAGAACACCATAGTCATAACTCTCAAGATTATTATGCCTTTCAATGCCACAGCCAATATATATATCAGTACTCCAGCAAACATTTTATGTCAAGCGGGACATTCTGAAGATTAAGAGGCCTTGCAATATATCTGGAATGATTGTTAACATTTGGAGGTCATTTTGCCCTTGGTCTCCTCAGAGCAATGAGACCAGTATGTATCAATTCAAAGGAATTTGAGGTTTGTGGTATTACAGGGTCCATAGATTTATTTTCTGTTCTGAAGGATCAGCCATTGAAGAGGCACTCATGTCATGGAGGGGGCACCATGCTTACCAATTGATATGAAACACAAGATAACAGGGCCATTTGGTTAGAATACCTTCCCTCTCTCCTTTTCTCTCTTTTTTCTTCTCCCCCCCCCCCTTCCTGTTTTCCTTCTTCAATTTGCAATTTGAGGTGGAGCAAAAGCTCCCTTCCTCCCACATTTCTCTACACTATGTGCTGCATGGATTGATAGCACTTCTTTAAAACTCATCCGTCTTTATATTTCACAAGTGTGATTTATAGAAGCAGTCTGGAAATAAAATGCATGCTCTGAATCTGAATGTAACAGATTGTTTTTGTCTTACTTGGGGGCGGGGTATGTGTTTATTTTCAAGTAAGAGAACATGAAAACACATTTGGGCTTGGCAGCATTTCTTTCCAATTCCCTACACAATCACTCACTGGTAAGAGACTAATTCTTGAGTCAACTTCAATGCTCTGCCTCTTCTCTTTCATCAGGAAGCTTCAGACTGGTTTATTATCATGTCTATTGATTGTGAGTCATGCACTCTTCAATGTTGGGATGGTGAAAACATGCCAGAGAAATGGGAACCATTACTCATTCCCCCCAAATTGGCACAACCCAAGTCGCAATTAATCTAGTGGGAAGAGTTGCGGTTGATATCATTAGTCCAATATTACGCAAGCCTTTCTTTGTGTAAACAGGTAATATTCCATGTAGGAAGATTTAGATGATAAGATAACTGTATGTATGTTTGCTTGTTTTGGGGTTTTTTTTAGGGGGCGGAGGTCAAATCATTTTTTTTCAAAAACACTGCCCTTGAACTTGATCATTTATAACCCAAGATGGTCATTGAATTCATTAATATTAAAGCAAACAATATTGTATTTTCCAAATTTGGATAAAAATTGGAATCAAAATCTTAAATTCCCATCAATTGCATGCAATCAACCTGCAAACTTTTCCTCTACAAAATTTCATCAGAGGTAGAGTAGGGGCTTGGGCTGCAATGAAGTTTAATGCAATGTTTGGATTAGGTTTTGGTGTAGTTTGGGGTCACACAGTTGAAGTTAAGACTTCAGACTGGTGTGTGAAAAAAGAGAAGTGAAGGGATTGGGAGAAGTGGAGAGATGGGGAGATGGAGATTAATAAGAAAAAAGACGGTTGAAATGATAAATGTGTGAAGAAGAGCAAGCCAAAGAATGGAACACCAGCAAAAGCAACAGAGACACATTTATAGCATTTTCATTAAAATCAGGACGATAAAATCCTCATCATCAGTTAGGCAGCATTATTTGAAGTTCTAGCACTTATATGCCCTAAAACATTTGTCTATGTTTTAGAGCAAAAGAGAGAGAGTTAGACCTGTAATATAAGATCTCCCCAAAATCAGCTTTTCGTCTAGGGCCTTTCAGTGTTTGTACAGAAGCGCAGGTGTGTCCCTCCCCCTCCAACAAATCTAGGTTTAATGACCAGTATCAATGGCTACAGAATTGAAGCCCCAGGAAAAGAGCTGAGAATTACGACCAGGGGTTGTATGTTTGGGAAACGATTTGCACTTTGGTGAAAATGTCAGCGCTGAGTTCACTTACAGATCTTCCGTTACACAGAAGGGTTGTGTTAATGTTGCTAGGGTTTGAGTTATTGAATGAGACAGACAGAGGGAGCAAGAGAGAAATAGAGAGAGAGAGAGAGAAAGAGAGAGAGAGAGAGAGAGAAAGAGAGGGAAAGGAAGAGGTGAGCAACTATTGAAGGGGAAGGGGAATACATTTTGAAAAAAAGACATTTTAATTCTCACCCATAGTTACAATCTTCATAGAAATACAGATACAAGGACACAAATAGGAGAAACTAAATATAGAGAAATGCAATGGTCGAAAATATGGTAAAAAATCTACCCATTCCCTGTATCATCTAAAACCATTTTTAATCCCTCTGTCATCTAGCTATCACAAGCTACCAACATCCTTTATCTCTGCTAATATTCATCTTGAACTGCATCTCCGTAATATTTTTATCAATCAAAAATATTCTTGGGTTAGTAGGTCAAAGCAACATGAATTCCTCCTCATACCGAGCAGCTCCCTCGACCAATATTCACCTGCCACCGTAAAAATGGCCCGCGGGCAGCCACACGCGCTCATCTAATTACAGCCCACCACCGAAATAACGCCGCCGACACATTACACGTTCTATTAGCCACTTGCATTTACCGAGCCTCCATTTGCTCTCGGGCGCATTGTGTGCTAGCATCGCAAAAACGTTCATTATGAGA